CAGCAGGCACAGCATTGGGGGCCCTGTGGGTCCACCCTCCTCTGTAGACACCAGGTTCCCTGGGTTTCGTTTTAATCATGCACAGAGCGACCTTCTTCCACTTATGCTCCTGAGAGGGTTCCTTGGGACCCACCCACCTGGTGTCCAGGTGTTCTCACCGTGGGCCACTGGAGTGCGTGCCAAGTGGTGTCTCTCGGGGCTGGAGCTGGCATTTTCCAGATTGTGAACGGGGGTTAGCCGTTTGCCCACGTGCTGACTGGGGCTTGTTTTCCCCTTTTGAATTAGCTGTTTGCAGCAAAGCAGTTTGTTCCTGGAATGAGGAAGACTGAGTAGATTCAGATGAAAGAAATCAGAATTAGTTCTTAAGTCACCTCAAAAAACATACATTCTATGGACATTTGGCAAGACACCCAACCAACTCCAGAGTTAAAGGGAAGTTGTTCTAACTGGTAGTTCCGGAACAATTGGCTCTCTGTGTGCCAACACTGAGAAGCAAAGAGTAAAGTCTAAGGCGTCCCCTCCAACGTGGAGAAGAGCGAGACCCCTAAATGCCAGTGCTTGCCACGTCGAGGCTCGAGGAAAACAGAGGAGCATGTACTCGTGAGACTGGGTTAGACGGGCTTTAGGGTAGACACAGAGCGCGCGTCACGAGAGAAGCGTCAGTCCGTGACACTGCATCTAAATGGAAGTCCCTCACTCGTCAGAAGACGCGAGGAAGACCTGGAAACGTGGGAGCGAAAGCCACGGGCGGAAGAGCTCGCAGGAGCGACGCACCACCTGCCTGTGCAATGGGAGCTTAGGGCAGCTCCCCAGATCGGGGCCTCAGTCCGCCCAGCCGCCAGGCTGTTCTGTGGGAAGAGCGCTCTGACCGCATAGGCCCTTCCTGCACATGTGCATGCTGGAGTCCATTCCCACTGCAGCACCTCCTGGCGCGTCGAGAGAAGCCATGTGGAACCCACACACCGATTTTCAGACCGTGAGCGCTGTGTTTGGGAGGGGAAGGAGGCGGCTCTCTAGGAGGTGGCCGACCGGTGACTGCAGCAATGCGCTTGAGCAGAGGAGCAACGCAGGACGGCGCAGGGCGAGGCTGGGTCTCCTTCCGCGTGCATAAGGTCACTGTGGGTCGGGACCGACTGATTGTCTTCACATGCCGGAGTTCCTCGATCGCTCAGCGTGGTGCTGGAGTCTCCATTCACACAGCCCCGACCATTCCAGTCACGTTTCCCGTCCTCGAGCTCTTGCACTCCTTCGTTCATTTTCAATAAGCCTGTCCCTGAGTGAACCTGCTGTTGACAGGGCTGCAAGTACCATTGAAAGGAGCTGCTCTCCACTTGGGCACTGCCTGTACGAGGAAGGGAAGTCACTTTTGTGCACAGAGCGGCCCAGCGTAAGGGACCCGTTGACCTCTTTGCTGCCACTGTCTCCTTGAGCATGGACTGGGGGTCCAAGCACAGTGAACCCTGGGCCGTGTCATTGTACTCTCTGTCAGGCTGCTCTCGGTCCAGCCGAGAGCATGTGGGTTTCTTTACATGTGTCCCAGAGCAGCACCGAGGGCGCCAGTCTTCAGGAACATCAAGGGTGAAGACCAAGGGTGACAGCCTTCGGTATGGATTACAACTCAATGTAAAGAAGACCCGGATCCTCACACCTGGCCAATAGGTCACAACATGATAAGTGGAGGAAAGGTTGAAGTTGTCAGGATTTCATCTTGCTGGGATCCACCATCAATGCTCGTGGAAGCAGCCGTCCAGAGATCAAATGACGGACTGCACTGGGTCAATCTGCACACATCGCTTTAGAATTGAGAAGAGCAAGGTGCTTCCAGTCACCTCATATCCATGTGGAAGTTGGACATGGGCTAAGGAAACCCAAAAATCCATGCAACTGAACTACGGTGCTGGTGAGGAATATTGAAAGTGCTGTGGACTGCCGAAAGAGCCCGCAGACCTGTCCCGGAAGAAGTATGCCTAGAATGGTTTTCAGAAGAGGGAATGGGGGAGCTCATCTCACATATTCTTGACATGTTGTCAACAAAGACCAGTCCCGGGAGAAGGGAGCCATGCTTGGTAGAGCGCAGGGGCAGTAACAGAGAGGATCCTGGCAGGGTGGGCGGACACCGGGCTGCAGCCATGGGCTCAGTCGATCAACCATGGAGAGGCGGGCGCAGGACCAGGTGGCCTTTCTGCAGTCACTCTGAGTGGGAGCCACCGGGATGGCACCTAGCAACAGCGACCCCAGGGAAAGGTACGCATCTCCTGTCAGCATGCACAGGCTCAGTCTCCCTCGGAGCTGCCCATGTGCCCCGGCGTCCATCTTCCCAGGGATCTAGGAAGGTTCCCAGGTCCAAAGGGCAGTTTTCCACTTGGGTCTCTTTGTTCTTGGCCATTGTGAAGCCCCTCCCCTCTGTTTCCTTCTCTCTCCTCATCTCTTTGAAGACAAAAGCTGTGACCCAGCGGAGGGTGTGATTCGAGCAACGTGTGGCCTGAGTGATGGCGGTGCTCTGGGGTAAGTGCTGGCTCCCAAGGTCGGCAGCTCGGACCCACCAGGCTGTCTGCTCCCATGGAGAGTCATAGGCTCACCGTGCTTCAGACTCTGCCGACGGCAGTGAGTGGGGTTTATTCTGGGTTTTGAGTAAGGGTGGAGCTTAGCCAAGGATGGCGTTGGAGTCAAACCTCCTTAAGACTCGGGACCGCTCATACTGATGTTGCATCATTCCCATCCAAAGAGGAGGGTTCACAGCACATCACAAAGTGGAGAAGGACCACACAACAGTGGGGATAAAGGTATTTTCCCAAAGATAACTCGCGATCATCCATCTTTCGTCCCTGGTTTTGGTAACTAATCTCTCTGTCGTCATTGCAGCTCGAGCTTTATCAACTTTTGAGCAATTCCCCTGTTGAAGGAAGCACGTTTGGTTTCCCTGATCTTCTTCCCGTTTGTCCGTTTTCTGTTTCATCACATCCAACTTTCACCCTCACTGAGCCCTTCCGTGGACTTACTGAAGAGGTGGTGGGCTAAAGGTTAAGCTTGCAGACCAGCTGCTCTCTGGAAGAACGATGGGGTGGTCCGTTCCCATAAAGAGTCACCCCCGGACACCCCCGGGGGCAGTTCCCCCTGGTCCTCCAGGGTCCGTATGAGTGCAAGCTGACTGGGCGGCGTGGGCAGTGGCTCTGGGGGACTGGTTTTGGGTTTCTTTTGCTGCTCTTTACTAGTGTGCTCAGGCGGCAGCTTAGAGGGCTGCTGTTAACCCTTCCTTCTTGCCTACTCAAAGAAAGCATAGTGCTGCCATCACGGGTCTTCAGTTGTGCCCAGCAAAGGTTGTTCTGCTCTCTGCAGGAGAGGACGAAGCAATTCGGAGCGGTCAGTAGGTGGGAAGCTAAACAAAGTGCTGCAAAGATCATGGGCAAGAGCTGCCGGGGCCACACACGGGCCCTCCCTCAGCCCCTGCAGTCACTTCTGAGCAACGCCACAGGGTCTTCCCTCTTTCTTGAAGAGCAATTGTTTGTTTGAAGTAGGGACTTCTGGAAAGCATAATGCTCTCAGAGGCGGCTGTAGGTAGAAGAAAGGGCCATGAGACCCCTTTCCAAATGACAATATTAACAGCCAACCAGATAGACAACAAATGCCGTCAGCGCAGGTTTGGTGTGAGGGCTTGGGGCCAGGAGTGGAGCCCATCACTACAAGTCCAGTACAGAGAAAGTGGCGTGTGTGTGTGTGTGTGTGTGTGTGGGGGGGGGTGTGTGTGTGTGTGTGTGTGGGGGTGGGTGTGTGTGTGTGTGTGATGAGAGCCTGTGCCTGGTGCTGCCGGGGGCAGGAGCACTCCCTCCGGATCTCCAGTGCCAGCTGCTTGGAGGAAGGTAGTGGATATGGATCGGGTCCGGTGGGCTTGGACAACTCTTTTTAGGACTCTGTACTTGTTAGAGGGAGCCCTGGTGGTGTCGTGGACAATTTGTGGGGCTGCCAGCAGCTGAAACCACCAGCTGCTCAGAGAGAGAAAGACTGGGCTTTCTACTCCCATAAAGAGTTACAGTCCCGGAGACCTCCAGGGGCAGTTCTACCCTGCCCTCTAAGGGTCCCTGGGAGCTGGAATTAACTCAAAGGCAGTAAGTGTGTTGGAAGGTAAACAGCAAAACTGTAAACATTAGTGCAAAACTATGAAGGAGGTGAGCTAGCCAAAGAAGCTCTTGCACACGCAATTTGAAGTTCATGAAATATGGCCAGGTGCACAGATCCAATTTCAGAAAGGACGCCTGCGTTAGTGCTCCTAGAAACATGTGCCAGGCATCACCAGGTCAAGCCAGCTGTACCCAACGGGGTCTCCATGGAAGCGATCACTGCTCTAAGGGCAAAGGAGCCAGGCAGCCCCTGTGGCTGTCAGAGGATATGAGCCGACTCTCAGACACCTCGTCAGACACTGGCGTCTCCCTCGAGGTGAAGTGAACTCCTGCCCTTTGACAGCTTCCGACCCACGGGTGCTCTCCTTCGTTCCAGACACGCGGTCTGCCAGAGCCGGATTGAAATCTGCTGAACGGAAGCCGGACTTGCAGGAGTCCCGCCCCCTTCTTGTCTTTATTGAACCATGAAAAAATGTTCAAAATTTTAAGAACGCTTCATTTTTGCTTTAAAGTTGAAAGATTCTCTCATGACAATAGTTTCCAGGGCTCATCCTCCCTCCATGGCCCCAGAAAGTCTAGATTCCCTGAGAATCATAAAGTCTGTTCTGCAGGATTCTTCTGTGAGATCTTGGATCTAAATAGTTTGTGCTGGTAGCTGGGCACTGTCTAGTTCTTCTGGTCTCCTGGCAGTGGCTCATAGGAGCGGTCAGCCACACCTCCCGTTCCCCCTGCGGTTCCTGACTCCCCATCATCCTCTGCTGCTCCAGGAAGCAGAGGCCAACTGTCCTGCCCCAGGTGGCCTCTGATGTGCAGCTGCCCCCTCCCTGGCATGCACCACCCTCCTCCTGTGTGCTAGCCACCCACTCTCTGTCCCCGGCCCCACAGTGTCCTCCTGTGACCAAGAGCATCAGTCGGCCCTGGAAGAGGCCAAGCAGCCAAAGAATGACAACGTGGTGATCCCAGAGTGTGCGCACGGCGGCCTCTACAAGCCCGTGCAGTGCCATCCATCCACGGGCTACTGCTGGTGCGTGCTGGTGGACACGGGCCGCCCCATCCCTGGCACCTCCACCAGGTAAGCACCACCACGGGGGGCCTGGACAGAGCCGGGCAGGGAGCTGGGGGCTCTCCTTACAACAATGGGCACCAGCTGTGGAGCCCTATCCTGGAGAGGCCAGCATCTGGGCTCAGGTCACAGGAAGTAGTGTGGGAGACTGGGAGAGACAGCTGTCTCTGCTGATCGAGCACAGGGGCCGGCCGCTGGGCACACTGCCCTTGGGCTGCCGACACAGGCCTGGTGATCAGATATGCTGGGTTCCCCATGCTAAGGCCAACCCGGAGCCCTCGGAAGGGACCCCCAGGGAGGAGCGGAGGAAACCATCTCCCATGGAGGGGCTGGTGCGTTTGAAGCACCGGCCTTGCCTGAACCAAGGGGCCATCCGCTCCTTATGCCTGCCGCGTGGAGAGAACAGGAATGTGAACGAGGCTTTGGTGAGAAAGTGCCGGTTTCTGACACAACAACCCGGCCGAGTGCAGGGAGCGGCCCTCCAGGTCTCCCTGGGGAGCAGTGCTGGCGACATTTTAAACTCTGACTTGTTCCAACTGTTCTTCATGGAATCCGGCTTCTCTGATGATTTCCTCAGCATACAGACCCAATCAGGCTGGTGAGAGGGTACCACGCTGACACTGACTCGCACCTTTCCTGACTTTAAACCACACAGTGCCCCTTGTTCGGTTCACACAACTGCCTCTTGTCCACGTAGGGGTTCCACAGGAGCACGGTGACGTCTTCTAAGACCCCCATTCTTCTCAAGGCTATCCAGCTTGTTTTGATTAGACACATAGATCAATACATTGGCATGAGCAATTAGGCACAGGTAACCCCCTTTCTGGCATTCCCTGCTTTGAGCCAAGCTCCATCTGACATCGGCAACCATCTCCCTGGCTCCATGTGCCCTCCTGGATCTCTGGCAGCTCCCTGTCCTGCGCTGCTTCAATCATTGTTGAACATCTTCAGCAAAATGCTGCAGGTCCATGAGTGATGGGAGCCCCCTGTTGGGCCACCTTTCCCTGGAACGGGCACAGATGTGGGTCTCTTCCCATCAGTTGGCCAAGTCGCCGTCTTCCAAAGTTTCTGGCACCGACGGGTGACTGCTTCTGGCGCTTGGTCAGCTTGTCAAAACATTCCCATCGGTGTTCCATGGATTCCTGGAGCCCTGCTTCTAACTCACGCTTCAGTGCAGCTCACACTCCTGCCTTCAGCACCACTGTTCTTGCTCACCTGCTGCCTGCTGCAACGGTGGGCTGCGCCCTACTTCTTTCCCGTACAGTGACTCTGCATTCTTTGCATCTTCTTTTGATGCTTCCTGCCTCCGTCAACAGTTTCCCCTGAGATCACTCAGGACTGCAACTCAAGGCTTGACTTTTTTCTTGAGTTCTTTCCGTTTTAGATCTGCTGGCCACGTTCTTCCCTTTGGGTTTTCTAACTCTGGGTCTTTTTAAAATTTATTTTAATATGTGGCTTTGTCTTCTCGAGCTGCCCTTTGACATGTTCAGTTCAGCTCTCTGGTGCATCATTTCTTCCAGTTCCTGTAGCTACTCTATGAGCAAGAGCAAGATTCAGGCTCTTCCGACACCCACGTTGATCTTGTCTTTCTGTTGACCTTTCACTTTCTTGGTGAACAAGGTCCTTAACGTCCTCACAGCTCATCGGGGCTGCGGACAATAGTGTTGAACGCGTCAGATCTGTTCCACAGACGCTCCTGGAACCCGGGCAGAGTTGCTCTGAGTCATGTTTGGCTCCTGTGGACTTGTTCCACTTCCTTCAGCTTCGACCTGCGCTTGCAGGTCAGCCGTTGGTGGGCTGTCCCACAGTCGGGGCCCTGGCCTGGGTTTAGCTGCTGATTTTGACCATCTCCCCACTTCCTGTTCCCTCTGTCCTTCCCTCGGAGACACCCCCCACATCCTGTTCCTTCTGTCCTTCCTCCCAAGACATCCCCCATCTCCTGTTCCCTCTGAGCAGACCCCACTGTGCTCAGAGGCCTCCTTCCCCTGCTCTTTCCTGCCCTTGCACCTGACACACTGCTTAACTCAAATCTCTTCCTTGGGCGGATCCTGCCAAGGGTCCTGGGTGAAACACGCGGCAGGTGGCATTCCAGAGCCAGCCCACCTCCAAAATGAATGCAGTCGTCCTGGGAGCTCAGGAGCTCGTGGACAGATCGGGCGCTGTGAGCAGTCCCTCGTGCCCTCCACTCCCCTCTGGCTCCCAGCAAGTGGACACAAGAACACGGTGACTTCAGGGACCCCCGTCTGCCCATCTCCCTTCCCAGACCAGGGGTCGGGGGTCACAGGGCTTTGCAGGGCTGCCCTGCATGGATGCCCCAGTCTAAAATGCACACGCATGAAACGTGGAGCAGCACTGCCCCTGCATGTCCCTGAGGTGGTCACCCTGGTCCGAGGAAAGCGTCTGGCTCCCAGCGGCAGACCCTGCAGTTAGCAGACTGCGCTTAGCCAGTGCACTACCAGGGTTTCTGGTGGTTCTGAGCACCTGTGTGCTGAGAGCCGCGGGCCCCCTCACACCGCCTCTACCCAGGTGTTGTCCCCCTCGTAGGTACGAACAGCCGAAATGTGACAGCACAGCCAGGGCACACCCAGCCAAAGCCAGGGACCTGTACAAGGGCCGCCAGCTCCAAGGTGAGTGGGGCTGGGGGGTGGGGGTGGGGCATGTGCTTGGTGCCCCTGGAGACTGTTTGTGGATTTAGGATGGGACATGGCTGCCCGGTGCTGTCCCAGTGGGGTCTGACTGGAGAAACCTCTGGCACCGACCCTCTTCCCGGATATACCTGAGCCAAAGCCCTATTCCCAAGTCGGGGCCTTAGCTGAGTGAGCCACCCAGGTGGGACGAGCCCCCAGGCCGGTTCCCACATGCCAAAGCAAGAACACAGCCTCCCACTACATGGAGCTGCAGTGTCTCAGAGCAATTCTCTAAAACCCAACTCTGCCATCGGGTTGGTGCCAACGCTCGGACCCTCGAGGACAGGGTAGGACTGCCCCTCTCATTATGGGAGCAGACAACCTCACCTTTCTCCCGAGGAGTGCCTGGTGGCTTCCAACTGCTGACCTTGAGGCTAGACCGCCACACATAGTCCGCCCCTAATGGCTTCCTTTCTGTTTGACCTGAAAGAAACCATGGGAATGCCATGACTCCAGTTCCCGCTGCCAGGGAGCCCACTGTTGAAGACAGTGGCACTTGGACTTGAGTCAAACACGCGTCTGATGGTGGTGTGATGGGTTAAGCATTGGCCACTTGCCACACTGTAGGCAGTTGATGCCCACCTGCTGCTCCTCTGGGGGAGAAGGATGGGACTGTCTGCCCCGTGAAGACTTACAGCCCAGGCACCCTGGGAGCAGAGCTGCTCTGCCCGACCAGGCCGCTGAGAGGCGGGACAGACTGGCTGCCAGTGGGCATATCAAGAGAGCTTCATGGTGAGGGACCGTTTGGAATTAAAGGCAGAAATTCTACCCCTGTAAATAGGGACAGTCCTGGAAGCCCACAGGGGCAGTCCTACCCTGGCCCCGAGGGTCACTGTGAGTCTGCATGGTCTCCAGGGTGGTGAGGTTTGGGTTTTGAGTTTTCACGAGCACACACTACCCTGCCGAGAACATGCAGACTCTGTTCTGGTGCATGTCATGCTTCTCAAAACCCAGTCTCTGCTGGGGACAACAGTGCTGTGTCGCCGTGCAGCCTCGAGCCTCCTAGGGCCCCCACCCCCTCAGCTCAGCAATGTATGGAAATGGGCCCTGTATCACCTGTGAGTGGGGCCCCACAGATCCACACCTGTAGGGGGCCCCAGCCTCTCCGAGGACCCAGGGGCCAAGGAGGTGTGGACAGAGCCCTGGGCTACATGGTGAGTTCCCATCCACAGGGGACGGCTGGGCTTACAGTGGCTGTGGGCCACTCCACCATCTCTCTGCTCACTTCTTGAAATACCAAGAGTCAGAGACACGCAGCCTAAGGCCCCAGAGCCCGGGAGACAAAACCTCTACCCAGCGGCTTCAGCTTGAGCGTGTATTTGATCTCCGTCTGACTTGACATTGGGCCCCGTCCTTTGTGGGGCTTCTTCACCATGTGTCACCCCACTGATAAAGGGTTACATGTGACATCCTGTGTCATTAGCAAAGGAGAGGGGCCCAGATGCCACCACCTAGGCAAAACTGGTCACCCAGCGGCACATGCACCCTACAAGGGACGCCCAGCTGGCAGCGGGTCCAGGGTGGCAGAACACACCATCCTGCCCCCAGGATGGTCCCATCTCATCAGGAGGACAGTGCCGTGTCCGGCAGACTGTAGTGTGGACAGTGCTGCAGGAATCCCCACACTGCTCAGAGCCCGCCACCTGGGAGCAGCCCCCCGGCACTGTTGTCAGTGGCCCTCAGCTGAGACAGCTGGTTCTTGTTTCAGCACCTGGACGCCTCTGCAGCCCCTTGGGGTGGCGCAGACACACACGCGTAGCCACTTTGTCATGGGATCTAACTCTGACCTTTTGGCCGAGAACCCCTTTGAGGCCCCAGGAACAATGCAAACAATTTCATCCTCAGAGTCACTCTGCTTAACTCCACAGCATCATTGAGATGCTCTGCCTTTTACTAGAAAAGAAAGCAGGCTAATTGGAGCATATCATCCTACGGAGGCGCTGATGTTCCACACTGCCTCCTGTTGTTCTTTGAGAGACACTATGTTTCAGACTGTCTCCTATTGCTGCAGGTGAGAGACACGATGTTTCAGACTGTCTCCT